CGGACCCTGGGGCCCGTGGACAGGCGGCCGCGCGCCGGGCGCTGGAGCCCTTGCGCCTCCGGATCCTCATGGGCCAATAGCCGCAGCGCCAGCACCGGCCCAGCCAGCGGCCTCTGGGGCCCCGAGCTGCCCACGCGGAGGCAGAACCTCAAGCCGCTTTGACGTCGCTCAACGGGGAGACAAAAATCAAAGAGAAACGTGGGGGCGGGGGTAAGGGCATCGCTGTCAACGTCCTTGAAGGGGAGCCCGGAGGCGGCCTGTGGGGTTTGGGGGCTCCCAGGAGGGCACTGCCTCAGGGCCCCCTGGGCCGCAGGCCGCCGCCCCCCACGGCTGAGAGGAGGGGGGGACTCCTCCCGCCGGGCTGTGGGGGACGGGGCAGCAAGGCCTGGAGACCGCCGGGGCGCGACGCCAGCCCCCGCCGGCGGGCACCAAGCCTGCGTGGGCCGCGGCCCGACTCCGCCTGGCTGCAGGGGAGAGGGCCGGGACCCCCACCCCTCCTGTCCAGTCGCCCCCAAGTCTGGCGGGACCTCGGCTTCAGCCTCCCGCCGCGTCTCCGGGCCTTGCTGCCCCCACTCCCCCCCCGCAGCCCCCCAGGGCCCGCGTCACGAGGGAGGACGCCGCTCGGCCTGCGCCCCGAGCCCGTGCGGGGTGTCGCCCCTGCACGCCGGGCTCCCCTGAGTCCCCACAGTGGGGCCGATTCCAGGCGCCGCCCCACGGCTTCGGGCAGAGCTGGTGCCCCACACCCCACCTGTCGGGCTGCAGCCCAGGGCTGTCTGGTGAGCGCCCCCAATGGGCGCCCCAGGACACTGGCACATCTGGCTCCCGGCTTCTCTCAAGACCGCCCTGGGCCACCGCCTCCCCCTCCTGGGTCACTGCTCCCCCACCCCTCCCAGCCGCTGGCCCCCCATGGCCACCCACTGTGCCCCGCCCCCCCGTGCCCCACCTCCCGCCATGCAAAGCCCTCAGAGCAGCACAGGGCGTCTGCTGCCCGCCTGGGGACTGCAGGGCTGGGCGGGTCTAGGCACCCTCCACCTCCCCCACCAGGTGGCCGAGGGCAGCGTGAGCCCAGGGCCTCCCCTGTCCCCCTGCCGGGGTCCTCCTGCCCCTCAGGGCCCTGGGGAGCTGCCCAGGCGTGGGCAGCGGCCACTGGCGGTACACAGCTCCCTGTGGGCCCCCCTGGGTTCCCTGGGCGCTCCAGTGTGATGTCAGCCCCACCCCACGGGGACAGGTGACAGGGCGGGGGCCCCCACGTGGCTGGGCCTCCCGGAAGATCGGAGGTGGGGGCGGCGGGGCCCCTGGAAGCGCCGCGTGGCCTGATGGGCAGCTGAGTCTGGGCTGTGGGGCCGGCAGGAAGGGCCGGGGCTCTCCACTCCACCCGCCTGGCTGCGGGGGGACCAGGGCGTGGCGCCCTGCCCCCACCGCCGGGGGGCTCCTTCAGAGGGCGCCCCGAGGCCCCAGATAATCCGGCTGTGAGAGGCTGGCCGGGGACTTTCCCACAGCCACATAAAGCCGGCCAGCTGCTCGCCCACAAAGGGCCGGGCCATTCAGGGGCTGGTGCGGGCGGGCGGCCGCAGGCCTACCTGGACAGCCCGGGCGTGCGCAGGAGCCACTGCTGACCCTGGTGGGCACCGGGCCTTGGGGCAGTCCCCTGCCGGTGGGGCGTCAGGCAGCCCCTCCCCCGCACGGCTGTCAGTCATCCTGGCCCCCCCCAGCCCCTGGGCCCCAGCCCCCGCTGGGCAGTGCTCTTCCCCCTCTCGGCCCTCCCTCTGTCCCCTCCAGCCACCTGAGAGGTGACAGGTGGGGGCGCCCCTGAGAGGTGCCAGCTCCCCCCAGCAGTTTGAAAGCACCAGGTCCTCAGAGGCTCGGGGGGGCTGCAGGCGCCCCGGGACACCCCTGCCCAGGGCTCCAGGTCCTCAGAGGCTCGGGGGGGCTGCAGGCGCCCCGGGACACCCCTG